TACTGGGGTATGTTGGTGGTGTACTGGTGTATGTTGGTGGTATACTGGGGTATGTTGGTGGTGTACTGGGGTATGTTGGTGGTATACTGGGGTATGTTGGTGGTGTACTGGGGTATGTTGGTGTACTTGGGTATGTTGGTGGTGTACTGGGGTATGTTGGTGGTGTACTGGGGTATGTTGGTGGTGAACTGTGGTATGTTGGTGGTGTACTGGGGTATGTTGGTATACTGGGGTATATTGGTGGTGTACTGTAGTATGTTGGTGGTGTACTGGGGTATGTTGGTATACTGGGGTATGTTGGTATACTGTGGTATGTTGATGGTGTACTGTGGAATGTTGGTGGTGTACTGTGGTATGTTGGTGGTGTACTGGGGTATGTTAGTGTACTGGGGTATGTTGGTATACTGGGGTATGTTGGTGGTGTACTGGGGTATGTTGGTGGTGTACTGTGGTATGTTGGTGGTGTACTGGGGTATGTTGGTATACTGGGGTATGTTGGTGGTGTACTGGGGTATGTTGGAGGTGAACTGTGGTATGTTGGTGGTATACTGTGGGATGTTGGTGGTGTACTGGGGTATGTTGGTGGTGTACTGTGGTATGTTGGTGGTGTACTGTGGTATGTTGGTGGTGTACTGGGGTATGTTGGTATACTGGGGTATATTGGTGGTGTACTGTAGTATGTTGGTGGTGTACTGGGGTATGTTAGTGTACTGGGGTATGTTGGTATACTGGGGTATGTTGGTGGTGTACTGGGGTATGTTGGTGGTGTACTGTGGTATGTTGGTGGTGTACTGGGGTATGTTGGTATACTGGGGTATGTTGGTGGTGTACTGGGGTATGTTGGTGGTGAACTGTGGTATGTTGGTGGTATACTGTGGGATGTTGGTGGTGTACTGGGGTATGTTGGTGGTGTACTGTGGTATGTTGGTGGTGTACTGTGGTATGTTGGTGGTGTACTGGGGTATGTTGGTATACTGGGGTATATTGGTGGTGTACTGTAGTATGTTGGTGGTGTACTGGGGTATGTTGGTATACTGGGGTATGTTGGTATACTGTGGTATGTTGATGGTGTACTGTGGTATGTTGGTGGTGTACTGTGGTATGTTGGTGGTGTACTGGGGTATGTTGGTGGTGTACTGTGGTATGTTGGTGGTGTACTGGGGTATGTTGGTGTTGTACTGGGGTATATTGGTATACTGGGGTATGTTGGTGGTGTACTGGGGTTTGTTAGTATACTGGGGTATGTTGGTGGTGTACTGGGGTATGTTGGTGGTGTACTGTGGTATGTTGGTGGTGTACTGGGGTATGTTGGTGGTGTACTGGGGTATCTTAGTATACTGGGGTATGTTGGTGGTGTACTGTGGTATGTTGGTGGTGTACTAGGGTATGTTGGTATACTGGGGTATATTGGTGGTGTACTGGGGTATGTTGGTGGTGTACAGGGGTATGTTGGTGGTGTACTGGGGTATGTTGGTGGTGTACTGGGGTATGTTGGTGGTGTACTGGGGTATGTTGGTGGTGTACTGTGGTATGTTGGTGGTGTACTGGGGTATGTTGGTGGTGTACTGGGGTATGTTGGTGGTGTACTAGGGTATGTTGGTGGTGTACTGGGGTATGTTGGTGGTGTACTGGGGTATGTTAGTATACTGGGGTATGTTGGTGGTGTACTGTGGTATGTTGGTGGTGTACTGGGGTATGTTGGTATACTGGGGTATATTGGTGGTGTACTGTAGTATGTTGGTGGTGTACTGGGGTATGTTGGTGGTGTACTGTGGTATGTTGGTGGTGTACTGGGGTATGTTGGTGGTGTACTGGGGTATGTTAGTATACTGGGGTATGTTGGTGGTGTACTGTGGTATGTTGGTGGTGTACTGGGGTATGTTGGTATACTGGGGTATATTGGTGGTGTACTGGGGTATGTTGGTGGTGTACTGGGGTATGTTGGTGGTGTACTGGGGTATGTTGGTGGTGTACTGGGGTATGTTGGTGGTGTACTGGGGTATGTTGGTGGTGTACTGGGGTATGTTGGTGGTATACTGTGGTATGTTGGTGGTGTACTGGGGTATGTTGGTGGTGTACTGGGGTATGTTGGTGGTGTACTGGGGTATGTTGGTGGTGTACTGGGGTATGTTAGTATACTGGGGTATGTTGGTGGTGTACTGTGGTATGTTGGTGGTGTACTGGGGTATGTTGGTATACTGGGGTATATTGGTGGTGTACTGTAGTATGTTGGTGGTGTACTGGGGTATGTTGGTGGTATACTGTAGTATGTTGGTGGTGTACTGTGGTATGTTGGTGGTGTACTGTAGTATGTTGGTGGTGTACTGTAGTATGTTGGTGGTGTACTGTGGTATGTTGGTGGTATACTGTAGTATGTTTGTGGTGTACTGGGGTATGTTGGTGGTATACTGTAGTATGTTGGTGGTGTACTGTGGTATATTGGTGGTGTACTGGGGTATGTTGGTGGTGTACTGTAGTATGTTGGTGGTGTCCTGTGGTATGTTGGTGGTATACTGGGGTATATTGGTGGTGTACTGTAGGATGTTGGTGGTGTACTGGGGTATGTTGGTGGTATACTGGGGTATATTGGTGGTGTACTGTGGTATGTTGGTGGTGTACTGTAGTATGTTGGTGGTGTACTGTGGTATGTTGGTGGTATACTGGGGTATATTGGTGGTGTACTGGGGTATGTTGGTGGTGTACTGTAGTATGTTGGTGGTGTACTGTGGTATGTTGGTGGTATACTGGGGTATATTGGTGGTGTACTGTAGTATGTTGGTGGTGTACTGGGGTATGTTGGTGGTGTACTGGGGTATGTTGGTGGTGTACTGTAGTATGTTGGTGGTGTACTGGGGTATGTTGGTGGTGTACTGGGGTATGTTGGTGGTGTACTGTGGTATGTTGGTGGTGTACTGGGGTATGTTGGTATACTGGGGTATATTGGTGGTGTACTGGGGTATGTTGGTATACTGGGGTATGTTGGTGGTGTACTGGGGTATGTTGGTGGTGTACTGTGGTATGTTGGTGGTGTACTGTGGTATGTTAGTGTACTGGGGTATGTTGGTATACTGGGGTATGTTGGTGGTGTACTGGGGTATGTTAGTGTACTGGGGTATGTTGGTATACTGGGGGTATGTTGGTGGTGAACTGTGGTATGTTGGTGGTGAACTGTGGTATGTTGGTGGTGAACTGTGGTATGTTGGTGGTGTACTGCGGTATGTTGGTGGTGTACTGTGGTATGTTGGTGGTGTACTGGGGTATGTTGGTGGTGTACTGCGGTATGTTGGTGGTGTACTGTGGTATGTTGGTGGTGAACTGTGGTATGTTGGTGGTGAACTGTGGTATGTTGGTGGTGTACTGGGGTATGTTGGTGGTGTACTGGGGTATGTTGGTGGTGTACTGCGGTATGTTGGTGGTGTACTGGGGTATGTTGGTGGTGTACTGTGGTATGTTGGTGGTGTACTGAGGTATGTTGGTGGTGTACTGAGGTATGTTGGTGGTGTACTGGGGTATGTTGGTGGTGTACTGTGGTATGTTGGTGGTGTACTGGGGTATGTTGGTGGTATACTGAGGTATATTGGTGGTGTACTGGGGTATGTTGGTGGTGTACTGGGGTATGTTGGTGGTGTACTGAGGTATGTTGGTGGTGTACTGGGGTATGTTGGTGGTGTACTGAGGTATGTTGGTGGTGTACTGCGGTATGTTGGTGGTGTACTGAGGTATGTTGGTGGTGTACTGGGGTATGTTGGCAGTATACTGAGTATATATTGGTGGTATAGAGATGAGAGAGAGCGAGGGGGGAAGTGTTCAGGGGTAGATATAATCCTTCTAATGTGTAAGTTCCTCCATGTTTACACATGCTTGGGGTCACCTGGAACAGTTCCTCCATGTTTACACATGCTTGGGGTCACCTGGAACAGTTCCTCCATGTTTACACATGCTTGGGGTCACCTGGAACAGTTCCTCCATGTTTACACATGCTTGGGGTCACCTGGAACAGTTCCTCCATGTTTACACATGCTTGGGGTCACGTGGAACAGTACATATTTACCTGGGAACATTTTGATGCGTGTTAGGCTTCAGTCTTTACAGCTTTCTCTAGGCTGATGTATTCTGGACATGTATTTTGGACATGTATTTTGTCCATGTATTTTGGGCATGTATTTTGGACATGTATTTTGTGCATGTATTTCATTTATGCTCTCAGATTTACAACATTATTTTGGAGGTGCGAATTTTTTGTATTTACATAAACATGGCCAAAATTTTTGGTGTGCGAGGTAGGAGAGACATTGAGTGAAATAACGAGAGGGAGGGTGATAAAGAAAGAGGGAGTGGGGGAGAGAGCGATAAAGAGAGGAAATAGGGGAGGGTGAAGAAGGATCTATGAGCCATAAACGGTGGACACAACACAGATTGAAGGGGACAGTGGCAAGTGAGAGGGGAGAGAGAGAGAGAGAGAGAGAGAGAGAGAGAGAGAGAGAGAGAGAGAGAGAGAGAGAGAGAGAGAGAGAGAGAGAGAGAGAGAGAGAGAGAGAGACACACACACACACACACACACACACAACACGGGCCACAACTATTTTTCTGCACACTTGCCAGCACAAAGAGCCCCTGTCACCTTTGTTGTTGTGAAAGTGTAGCGAGCTGAAGGGTGTAATTATGAACACCATAATCGCAGGTGGTCAGCCAGAAGTGTACTTGGAGCTTTGAGAGAGAAGGGGAGAGGTGGGGGAAGGGAAATGGGGAGAGACGCAAAGACCAATGAGGACAAGGGAAGAGAGAGAGAGAGAGAGAGAGAGAGAGAGAGAGAGAGAGAGAGAGAGAGAGAGAGAGAGAGAGAGAGAGAGAGGAAGGTAAGAGTATGCAGGAGAATGAAGAGTGAAAGAAGGAATTGATGTTTCTCTCTCCCCACTCTCTCTCTCTCTCTCTCTCTCTCTCTCTCTCTCTCTCTCTCTCTCTCTCTCTCTCTCTCTCTCTCTCTCTCTCTCTCTTAGTTACTACGTTCGACTGTCTCTAACTTCAAGCTGGGGTTTCCATGGCAACTTCTTTAAACCTGAAAAAAACAAGTCACTCCAAAACCAACATATTTCGTTCTTTGATTTCCCAGTTCTTTAAGAATCTATTATTTGGTCGAACGGAACTTCCTGGCATCTGAAAAGTTGGCATATAAGAAAATGTGGTACAAATTAGAACACCCTGGACCCAAGATCATTTAGTTTGAGTTTATCAGAGGTAGGAGTTATAATGCGCGCCATTGGCAGCCATCTTTGGAGCGTCAGTTTGTTTATCAACATTCCGTCAGCTGATTTGGCGCGGAAAAATGGCGGGAATCGGAGACAGCTGTTCCGCGGCGTTCATAGCCAGGGCGCTGAGTAGATTTTCTGTTAACGGCCGTTAACGGTGGGATATTGAAGGGAATAATTAGTTTAAACGACGCTGGGTTGCATGTAAATAACTGTTTTACTCTCCCCCTCTGTTGAGTGCACGCTTGCGTTGAGTGCACGCCTGCGTTGAGTGCACGCCTGCGTTGAGTGCACGCCTGCGTTGAGTGCACGCTTGCGTTGAGCGCACGCTTGCGTTGAGTGCACGCTTGCGTTGAGTGCACGCCTGCGTTGAGTGCACGCTTGCGTTGAGCGCACGCTTGCGTTGAGTGCACGCTTGCGTTGAGCGCACGCCTGCGTTGAGTGCACGCCTGCGTTGAGTGCACGCCTGCGTTGAGTGCACGCCTGCGTTGAGTGCACGCTTGCGTTGAGTGCACGCTTGCGTTGAGCGCACGCTTGCGTTGAGCGCACGCCTGCGTTGAGTGCACGCTTGCGTTGAGTGCACGCTTGCGTTGAGCGCACGCTTGCGTTGAGTGCACGCTTGCGTTGAGCGCACGCTTGCGTTGAGTGCACGCTTGCGTTGAGTGCACGCTTGCGTTGAGCGCACGCCTGCGTTGAGTGCACGCTTGCGTTGAGTGCACGCCTGCGTTGAGCGCACGCTTGCGTTGAGTGCACGCTTGCGTTGAGCGCACGCTTGCGTTGAGTGCACGCTTGCGTTGAGTGCACGCCTGCGTTGAGCGCACGCTTGCGTTGAGTGCACGCTTGCGTTGAGCGCACGCTTGCGTTGAGTGCACGCTTGCGTTGAGTGCACGCCTTGCGTTGAGTGCACGCCTGCGTTGAGTGCACGCTTGCGTTGAGTGCACGCTTGCGTTGAGTGCACGCTTGCGTTGAGCGCACGCCTGCGTTGAGCGCACGCCTGCGTTGAGTGCACGCTTGCGTTGAGTGCACGCTTGCGTTGAGCGCACGCCGGCGTTAAGTGCACGTCGAGGTTGCCCATGTATCAGCTCAGAGACAGCGGTACATTCACTTACACGTGTGTTTATAAGAATGTCAGATGTGTGTTGAATCATTTGTTATTGTGTGACAGAGGGACCAGTGTTGTTATATCTGGCGGGTAGACTCATATGTTGTCAAGTAACGGTCCGCCACGTGGTCTCCTTGTGTTGGATTAATTTGATAATGGCAGACGTTGTTACGGTGTTGTAACCTCAGGAAAGCGAGGACTTGAACGAGCACACGGTTGTGAAGGTTGTAACCGCCGCTAGAGACACGGAGGGATGCGAACCCACTCGCCGGAGCATGCCATCCCAGTGCGCTTGTCCGGCCCAGAGCGCCACATATCTAGGGAAGCGTGCAAGTAACGACTGAAGCCCAAAAGCTACGACAGGAATGGTTGTGAGTACCATTTGACTCGATGTCTCCCTCCCACTCCTCCCTCCTTCCATCCCTCCCTCGCCCCCCCCCCCATCCTCCTGCGTCTATCCCACCATCCTGCTGTCCATCCCGAGTATCTGGTGGCCGGCTCACATAAATATCTCCCATCCCCAAGAGCCATTTTCTGTCTGCTTCAGTTAATGTGAATGTCAGCGTGTCGTCTTGTACAAAAAGTGTTCCAATCTGCTGGCTACAAGGACTGTCTACAGGGTCTCTGTCTATACTGTCTGCACAGGCTCTCCTTACCGTCTGTTCCGTCTTTAAGTGTGTCTGCAATCTTTGCAACAAGTGTGTGCACATTGTCTCCAGCAGTTAAGTGTGTATCACTTGGATAAGTGAGTGTAAAGTATGGAATAAGTGTGTATGAAGTAGATAAGAGTGTGGTTGATAATTACGACCAGTCGACCGTCAACATCAACCAGTGACAGTCACTACCAACCAGTGACAGTCACCACCACCAACCAGTGACAGTCACCACCACCAACCAGTGACAGTCACCACCACCAACCAGTGACAGTCACCACCACCAACCAGTGACAGTCACCACCACCAACCAGTGACAGTCACCACCACCAACCAGTGACAAGTCACCACCAACAACCAGTGACAGTCACCACCACCAACCAGTGACAGTCACCACCAACCAGTGACAGTCACCACCACCAACCAGTGACAGTCACCACCAACCAGTGACAGTCACCACCACCAACCAGTGACAGTCACCACCAACAACCAGTGACAGTCACCACCACCAACCAGTGACAGTCACCACCAACCAGTGACAGTCACCACCACCAACCAGTGACAGTCACCACCACCAACCAGTAACAGTCACCACCACCAACCAGTGACAGTCACCACCAACCAGTGACACCACAGCTAGTGTCACCACCACACCAGTGACAGTCACCACCACCAACCAGTGACAGTCACCACCACCAACCAGTGACAGTCACCACCAACCAGTGACAGTCACCACCACCAACCAGTAACAGTCACCACCACCAACCAGTAACAGTCACCACCAACCAGTGACAGTCACCACCACCAACCAGTGACAGTCACCACCACCAACCAGTGACAGTCACCACCACCAACCAGTGACCGTCACCACCACCAACCAGTGACAGTCACCACCAACAACCAGTAACAGTCACCACCACCAACCAGTGACAGTCACCACCACCAACCAGTGACAGTCACCACCACCAACCAGTGACAGTCACCACCAACAACCAGTAACAGTCACCACCACCAACCAGTACAGTCACCACCAAGCAGTAGTGTCACCACCACCAACCATACAGTCACCACCAACCAGTAACAGTCACCACCACCAACCAGTAACAGTCACCACCAACCAGTGACAGTCACCACCACCAACCAGTGACAGTCACCACCAACCAGTGACAGTCACCACCACCAACCAGTGACAGTCACCACCAACCAGTGACAGTCACCACCACCAACCAGTGACAGTCACCACCAACCAGTGACAGTCACCACCACCAACCAGTGACAGTCACCACCAACCAGTGACAGTCACCACCACCAACCAGTGACAGTCACCACCAACCAGTGACAGTCACCACCAACCAGTGACAGTCACCACCACCAACCAGTGACAGTCACCACCAACCAGTAACAGTCACCACCACCAACCAGTAACAGTCACCACCAACCAGTAACAGTCACCACCACCAACCAGTAACAGTCACCACCAACCAGTAACAGTCACCACCACCAACCAGTAACAGTCACCACCAACCAGTAACAGTCACCACCAACAACCAGTGACAGTCACCACCACCAACCAGTGACAGTCACCACCACCAACCAGTACATCACCACCAACCAGTAACAGTCACCACCAACCATACAGTCACACCCCCAGCTAGTCACCACCACCAACCAGTAACAGTCACCACCACCAACCAGTAACAGTCACCACCAACCAGTGACAGTCACCACCAACCAGTAACAGTCACCACCACCAACCAGTGACAGTCACCACCAACAACCAGTGACAGTCACCACCACCAACCAGTAACAGTCACCACCACCAACCAGTAACAGTCACCACCACCAACCAGTGACAGTCACCACCACCAACCAGTGACAGTCACCACCACCAACCAGTGACAGTCACCACCACCAACCAGTAACAGTCACCACCACCAACCAGTAGCAGTCACCACCACCAACCAGTAACAGTCACCACCAACAACCAGTGACAGTCACCACCAACCAGTAACAGTCACCACCACCAACCAGTGACAGTCACCACCACCAACCAGTGACAGTCACCACCAACCAGTGACAGTCACCACCACCAACCAGTGACAGTCACCACCACCAACCAGTGACAGTCACCACCACCAACCAGTAACAGTCACCACCACCAACCAGTAACAGTCACCACCACCAACCAGTGACAGTCACCACCACCAACCAGTGACAGTCACCACCACCAACCAGTAACAGTCACCACCACCAACCAGTGACAGTCACCACCACCAACCAGTAACAGTCACCACCAACAACCAGTGACAGTCACCACCACCAACCAGTAACAGTCACCACCACCAACCAGTGACAGTCACCACCACCAACCAGTAACAGTCACCACCACCAACCAGTAACAGTCACCACCAACAACCAGTGACAGTCACCACCACCAACCAGTGACAGTCACCAGTGTCAACCACCACCAGTCACCACCACCAACCAGTAACAGTCACCACCACCAACCAGTGACAGTCACCACCAACAACCAGTGACAGTCACCACCACCAACCAGTGACAGTCACCACCAACCAGTAACAGTCACCACCACCAACCAGTGACAGTCACCACCACCAACCAGTAACAGTCACCACCACCAACCAGTGACAAGTCACCACCACCAACCAGTGACAGTCACCACCACCAACCAGTGACAGTCACCACCACCAACCAGTGACAGTCACCACCACCAACCAGTGACAGTCACCACCACCAACCAGTAACAGTCACCACCAACAACCAGTGACAGTCACCACCAACCAGTGACAGTCACCACCACCAACCAGTAACAGTCACCACCAACCAGTAACAGTCACCACCACCAACCAGTGACAAGTCACCACCACCAACCAGTGACAGTCACCACCACCAACCAGTGACAGTCACCACCACCAACCAGTGACAGTCACCACCAACCAGTAACAGTCACCACCACCAACCAGTGACAGTCACCACCACCAACCAGTAACAGTCACCACCACCAACCAGTGACAAGTCACCACCACCAACCAGT